TCCCCAACCGTCGATGAAGAGGCTAAGTCTGGTTTCCTGTGGATGAACAGTCATAATAGTGTCCAACAACTGTTTTTCTTTTTTTTTTACATTCAAAGTGAAACTCGAATCTCATACCGCTAAAATAACATAAATGAGAAATCCTTTATAAGAGGAGATGACAACTAGCTTACAAAACAACATAAATGAAAAATCTTTTATAAGGGAATTAGATGACAACTAGCTTACAAGAACATTAAAGACTACGAGAAATTAAAAAGATGAGAGAGAGAGGTAGAGAGAGAGTGCGAGTAAATGGCAGTGGATCAAGGCAACAACGGCGAGAACAGAGTGCGAGGTCGACATGGAGGCGTGGAGAACAAAGAAGGGGTTTTTATGATAAGGAGGATGAAGGATCTTATGGGAAGAGCTTTCGGAACTTCAGCTGGACAATCTACAACCAAGCAACAGCCTTCTATTTCTCAAACTTCCCCGAGGATTGGACATATGAACAGATGTGGAAAACTTTTCTGAGTTTTGGGAAGGTTTATACCATATACAGTCCGAGGAGGAAGAATAAAGCTGGTTGTAGATTCGGTTTTGTTCGGTTCTTGGACGTCAAAGATGTGAAGAGATTGGAGAGGCAGCTTGACCAAATATGGGTTGGTAACAGCAAACTGAGGGTGAATTGTCCAAGATTCCAATTAAACACTGGAAGAGACGAAAAGGAAAAGAACAGCCAATACAAGCAGAAGCCAGAAGGAAGAATCAACTTCTCAGAGGCAGTAAGAGTGCAAGGGCGGAGCTACGTTGATGCAGTGTTAGGGGAAAGGAAAGGGGAGCAAAATCAGCAGAAGAAGGAGAACAATAAAGAGAGAAGGCAACTTTGGCAAGTAAAAAGCTCAGATACATCCTGGACTGGGCTGGAGTTTAAATCCAATCAGGAGGAGTGCAAATGGTTGGATGGTTGCTTCGTAGGCATGGCAAGGTCGGTGGAGATCGTACCAGTGATACAAGAACGTATGTATATGGAAGGGATGTTCTCTGTCAGAGTTAAAGCCATGGGCGGTAAAATGGTGCTAATAGACGGAGAAGACAAAGATGAGCTCAAGCACTTGATGGAATCTGCAGCGGATTGGTTTAGCCAGTGGTTTGAGGAAATCTGTCCATGGACCTCCTCAATGGTGGCGAAGGAGCGGTTTGTATGGCTAAAAATTATGGGGGTTCCCCTATCAGTTTGGGGTGATAATTTTTTCTCTACTATTTCAAATTTGTGGGGAAAATTTATCTCTCTTGACGATAGCACCAGGTTGAAGAAAAGGTTTGATGTGGCAAGAGTGCTAGTGTCAACCACTCTGACGAACAATATTTCCAGAGTGTTAAGAGTTAAAGTGGATGGTCAGTTCCACAACATTGTGTGCAGAGAGGAGGACGGGAGCAATGGATTCTTTAATCTTAAAACCGATTACAATCTTGATTCTCAGTCTAATTCGGATGATGAGGATATTGAGCTCTGGTCTACTGATCATTATTCTGGAGAAGAGTTTGATGAAGCTAGCCATGCCTCCCGGAGTAAAAATCAGGTGAATTGGTCTGAAGAGGATGGTGGGGAAGAAGAAGCTGACATGGCAATTGGAAAAGCCCAAGAAATTCAAAAATTTCAAATTGTTGATGAGACTCCTAGTTCTAGCTATGCAGAGCACATTAATGAGTTAGGAGGCGGAAGTGGAGAAAATGATAGTTCCAAGGAGCAGGGTCTTAGTGTGGTGAAAGAGACACAGATGACTGGAGCAGAAAATTTAATAACACAGCAGTGTGATCATGAGGAAGTGGTCGGGGTGGGGCCAGACAATGAGGTGCGCCAAGGGGATCAGGGGGATATGAATAAGACAGATCAGAGTTTGGGCCAGATAGTAGCCCAGCCCGTCTCAAATGGGACAGGGGAAAGGATAATGGAAAATGGGCCAAAAGCAAATGTTGGGCTCTTATCCTTAAGGCCGGCCAAAGGCAACCAAGATAGAATACATCATCAAGAGCAGATCGACGAAGCTGAAGATGCAGGAGTGCCGGCCGGTGATGGGAATGATGCAAGAGGTGATGATTCTTTCTGGGCGGAGCTAAGCAGCGATTCAGGACCGATCGCAGACTGGATTAGCAGGTTTAAAAGATCGAATTTGAGAAAGAAGAAGCAGAGGAAGAAGAAATCAAGGGCATGCATGTCGGTATACAAAGATGTCCGGACTGCTGTGATGGGGAAAGGAAAGAAGAGCAGAGAGGGTAGATTAAAAGCGATTTCAACCCAGCAAGGAGGACTACCGAAATTCTTCTCAAATGCCGAAAAGCCTGTTGCAGGGGAGTCAATTTCGGATGGAGCAATTATTAATTGTAACAAAAGAAGTAGAGCCAGATCCAACTCAAATTCAGCAAAGGAAATATGGAACTTTGCCAAGGAGATAGGGTTGACAGCAACCGGTGATGAGCAGATCATTATCCAACAAATAGAGGACATGGAAAACAGAGATAAGGAAGTCAGAAAACAGAAGCATCACTAGGAGATAGCAGCGGAGGGAAGAAGGAAGGTTAGTACAAATTCCCCATGATTTTGTTGTCATATAATATTAGAGGGTTGGGAGTCACAGGAAAAAAAAGGGAGGTTAGTGAACTAGTGAGAAAAGAGAAGGTGGAGTTCTTAGCAATACAAGAATCAAAAAAAGAATCTGTTGATAGAAGGTTGTGTAGATCATTGTGGGACTCAGATGATGTAGAGTTTGTTGCTAAGCCTTCTAAAGGGCAATCAGGAGGGCTAATTTGCATATGGCAGAAGAGTGTGTTGAAAAATTGGAGTAGTTTTGAAGGAGATCATTTTGTGGGAGTATCAGGTATTTGGGTAGAGGAGGATATTGCTGTTAATTTGGTGAATGTTTATGCGCCGTGTGATGACAAGGAAAGAAGAATGATGTTTGACGAATTGAAACTAGTGATTACAAACAAAGGAGGGTGCTGGTGCCTTATGGGCGATTTCAATATAACTAGAAATCAACAAGAAAAGAGTGGAGACAGAGGTGTTTCAAATGGAATGAGAGTGTTTAATGAATTCATCAGGGATATGGAGTTGGTTGATCTGCCTTTGATTGGAAGGAAGTTTACCTGGTATAAGCCTAATGGTGAAGCTATGAGTAGACTCGACAGATTTCTAATGACTGAAGATTGGATGTTTAAGTGGGTTAACTCGAAACAGTGGGGTCTGAAACGCTCTATATCTGATCACTGCCCCATTTTACTCAAAAGTCAGCACATTAATTGGGGGCCTAAGCCTTTTAAATTTTTTGACGAATGGCTATTACATCAGGAATGCAAGACCATAGTGGAAGAGGAGTGGAAGAAGACTAATGTTCAAGGCTGGAAAGGATTTTGTGTGAAGGAAAAACTCAAGGCAGTGAAACAGAAGCTAAAGAAATGGAGTGCCGAAGAGTTTACACAGCTTGACCTTAAGATTAATGAGGCCAAGGAGAAGATTGCAAGTCTCGATAGAATGGGGGAGTTTAAACAACTGAGTGATGCAGAGATTATGGAAAGGAAACAACTGTTTATGGAGGTTTGGAGTAAATTAAAGATTAAGGAAGGTATGTACAAGCAAAAAGCAAGGAAGGCTTGGCTCAAGAATGGTGATGCGAACTCTAAATATTTTCACAGATGCATTAAGAGCAGACAGCGAAGAAATGAAATTAACTGTATAGAAATCAATGGTAAACAGCTTGTAGGAGTAGAAGAGGTAAAGGACGGGATTGCTAAACACTTCCAAAACTTCTTTCAGAAGGAGAAATGGGTGAGACCTGTTCTTGATGGTGTGGAATTCAAACAAATCTCTTCGCAGCAAGCTGAAAGGTTATCTGCCTCTTTTTCAGAAGATGAAATAAAAAAAGCAATGTGGGATTGCAGCTCTTCGAAGGCCCCTGGTCCGGATGGTTTCAACTTCAGATTTTTTAGAGAATTCTGGGAGACTATCAAGAAGGACGTGGTTGGGTTCCTGCAGGAATTTCAGAAAAATGGGAAGTTGGTCTCTGGTTTAAATGCTTCTTTCATTACACTTATTCCAAAAGTGAATAATCCTCAGAAAATTGAAGAGTATAGGCCCATATCTTTGATCGGTGCAATGTATAAAATAGTGGCAAAACTATTAGCTAATAGACTCAAGGAAGTTATTAGTTATGTTATCGGGGAGCACCAGATGGCCTTTGTTGAGGGAAGACAGCTCACGGAGGCCGTGGTTATGGCTAACGAGATCATTGATGAAGCGAGAAGGAAGAATCTTAACAGCTTTATCCTGAAAATGGATTTTGAGAAGGCCTACGACAAAGTGAGTTGGTCATTTTTGGATTATATGATGAGTAGATTCGGTTTTGACAAGACATGGAGAGGATGGATTCTGGAGTGTCTCCAAACCAGCAGTGTTTCAATTTTGGTTAACGGGAGCCCAACCAGGGAGTTTACAGTGAGTAGGGGATTGAAACAAGGCGATCCCCTCTCCCCTTTCCTATTCCTAATGGTGGCAGAGGGATTAAATGGACTCATTCATTCCGCCATCAGAAAAAATTTATTCCAGGGTGTGGATGTGGGGTACAATGGTGTAAGCTTCTCACATATACAATTTGCTGATGACACAATTCTCTTTGGGAAGGCTACCGAGAGCAATGTGTGGGCTGCCAAGTGCATCCTCAGATCTTTTGAGCTTGTATCTGGGCTCAAGATAAATTTCTCGAAGAGTCAGTTGATGAGCATTAATATGGAAGAGGAGTGGACAATTAGAATGTCGTACTTGTTAAATTGCCCGATTGGTGTTATTCCTTTTAAATACCTGGGAATGTTGGTAGGGGGGAATCACAGAAGGGTATCTTTTTGGCAAACTCTGGTGGACTCCATGAAGAAGAAGCTGGCAGGTTGGAAAGGGAAATGGTTATCGTTTGGAGGTAGAATAACGCTGCTAAACTCTGTTCTTACGTCATTGCCTGTTTTCTTACTGTCCGTTTTCCTTGCACCAAAAAATGTTGTGAGATCTATTGAAAAAATCAGGAGGGATTTTTTATGGGGGGGGTGTGAGGATACTAGGAAAGTGCACTGGGTCAACTGGGAAAAGGTTTGTAAGGGTAAACATGAAGGGGGGTTGGGCGTGAAGAGTATTAGGGCTTTTAATCTTGCTCTTCTCGGTAAATGGTGGGGGAAGCTCGCTAAAGGGGAGGAGGGGTTGTGGAGTAGGCTAATTAAGGAAAAATATGGCGCTGGGAATGATAGTTGGTTGTCATGGGTTAAAAATGGTAGAGGGGAGGGCTCTAGTTGGTGGAAGGATGTTTGCAGGATTGATGTATTGGGAGACAATAGAAATGGGTGGTTATCTAATGGTTTCGAGATTATAGTAGGAGATGGAGATGGAATAAGTTTCTGGTGGGACTCATGGTGTAAGGATGGGGCCCTAGCTCACAAATTTCCAAGGCTTTATATGCTTTCTGCAGGTATGGACTATAAGATAAAGCAAATGGGAGTCTGGATCGAGGATAAATGGAGATGGATGTTTCCATGGAGGCGTGTGTTGCTGGACAGAGAATCCCAAGCAAGAAAGGAACTAGAGAAGATGCTGGAAGCAACTAAATTACACCAAGGACGAAAGGATAAGTGGGATTGGAAGTTTAGCATGGATGGTAGCTACACAACAAGTACAGGGTATGCAAATCTCGCTGCCTCACAAGAACAGAGCCAGAAGCATGTCTTTGGAAGAGTATGGAATCCAAATGCCCCTTCAAAGGTGTGTGGCTTTAGTTGGCAACTTCTTTTAAATAGAATACCTACTAAAACCAATTTATTCAAGAGAGGTATCATCAAGGATCCGGCTGAAGTCATGTGCAGCCTTTGCAAAGAGTATATGGAAGATTGTGATCACTTATTTCTCTCTTGTAAAATCACTACCGAAATATGGAATAGATGCTTGAATTGGTGGGGTGTTCAAGCTGTGTTGGCTAGTAATGTATGGGATGGTTTTAGGCAACATGAGGGTATTGCAGTGTCCAAACGAATGAGGGTCGGCTGGGAAGTGGTGTGGTTTGCCTTGGTATGGACTATATGGCTTACTCGTAATGAGGTCTTGTTCAACAATAAAATTGTGGACAAAAACAAGTTGTTCGATTTAGTCCAAGTAAGGTCCTTTCACTGGCTGACTAATAGAGGGAAGGTTTTGAGGTACAGTTTCTCTGATTGGCTTCTCAATCCCCATCTATGTAATGTGAGTGCTTAAGTGCATAGGTTCTTAGGCACTTTAAATATTATGTAAATGGGTAGAGTACCCCTTGTACTCAAAATAAAAGTTTTTTTGCCTTTCAAAAAAAAAAAGCTTACAAGAACATTCTCAATCCAACAATTATCCTTTTTTTAGATGAATCAAAAGTTTTTATTGTATAAAGCACAAAAAATATTCCATTTATAGTCTCAAAAACACTTTACAGATAAAACATCTCAATA